GCCATGGGAGGCGCAGCCCGTCGCTCGCCTCGCTGCGGGGAGCCGGCACCCGAGGGAGCGCGTGGCCTCGGAGCGGTGACCACGCCGGGGAACCACCGTCCTAGCCTCACCCCTGAGGGCTGGGGAGGGCTCCGGCGGGGACGGGAGCAGGAGAGGCCCGGGGCAGCGCTGCTCGAGGCCTCCATCCCCCCTCGTCCTCAAGTCCGCGGCACAGTGGTGCTGTTTTCGGGTCACAGCATCTAAGCTTTACATATGTAACATTTCCGCTTTTCTAGGGCGGTGGGCTTTTTCCCCTGTAGCTGGCTATAGCCAAAGCCTGCTGCCCTAGAAAAGCAGAAATAGGCAGACCACTTGTAAACTGCCTCTTCTTCACACCTCAATTCCATCTTCTGGTGTTTAAATGTGAGATGATTTCCTCAATGCTTCATTTCATGAGGAAAACCGGTTCGGCACAGCACAGGGGCTTCATGCTGTGTTTCAGTGTTTCCTCGAGGTCCATCCTGGCTCACTGAGGCAATGGGCGGCAGCCCACTTAGTCTGCAACCAGGAGGTTGGGAAGGGTGTCTGAGAGCACCAAGGTAGTCATGCTTCATGTTCCTTATCTGTGCTATGCTCACTCTTCCTCTTGCCCTGACAGAACTGGAAGGGGCTGGCTTTTGTATCAGTACAGCTGATAACAAATTAACACTTTTCCCACCAACTTTTCAGGTCCAGGAGCCCACATGGCTTGGGGTGCAGCATTACCAGTGAAAGCAGCATGCGTTAGCTACAGCAGCAGGACACAGGGCGGCTTTCCGTGTTGCCACTTTTGACCATCAGCGACCTAAGCCACTACTCGGATGCCCAGGTTCCAAGAGATGTGGTAGTAACACAGCTGAGAAAGCAGCATATGTGCCTCAAGACTTCTCCCCCCAAATTCCTGCGATACATTTAATCTTCCAGATGACTTCCCCAAACATCCACCTGCCCTGCAGCTTAGACCTCACCTCCTCTGTTAGTCCAGGCTTGAAGCAACATCTGATTTTTCCTTTAGAAGGAGAAGGACATGCATCAGGCAGCTCCTCTTCATAAAGGTCTTGGGAGGGAAAGTAGCAGGCTTCCACTAAGGCCTCAAACCTCCATTCAGGTTCAGGAGTGCAAATCAGACTTTCCAGCTTCTGTTGCTTTCAGCCAACGCTTGCTGGCTATCTTCTCAGTCTCCACAGAATTACTGCAGAGTGAATGGTCACAGAAAACTTGCCCCTACAGACCTGCCCTATTTGAGCCCCATTCTTCCAAAGTGATGCTGCTGTGGCTGCTGGAGAGTGCTCTGGTCCGCTTCCTACTGCAGGCAAGGCCATTGTCTTCGCTTCTCTTTGCCTATTGCTTTGTCACCCTCCAACTCTGACTCAACTCTGTATTTGATCCTCCCAGGATCAAGCTTTTGCTAATTCATCTCCGCACAGCAGATTTCTGAACTTCACACTTCCCTCAGCTCTACTTTCCTTCCCAATAAGGTGACCTTACTTCTTGCTGCTTCAGCCTTGTACCTCCAAACCCACTTGGCTCCTGCTCTAAACCATTTTCAGAATCCTTACCCCCCTCACATTCTTCTGTCTCCCTCCTCAGGCACATCTTTTTAAACAAACTAGGAGGTGTTTTTTGGTTTTTTGTCGTACCCATTAATTAGTGATTCAGAAAGTCTTAACTCCTAACATGGCCTTTAACACCCCTGCCCCTCCCCTTTTTCTTTCATTGCTCTAATTCAGTCCTTACACACATTAATAATGGGTATGTTTGCGTCTGACCCTTGTATCTACGTTCTCTTGCTAAGAACTCATAGCCACCTCATTTCTGTCTCCAAAGTTGCCAGAATTTTTCCACAGGGAAACAACTGCCTTACAGCTCATCCTCTGTATCTGCCAGTAGGGCTGGCACCTGCATCCTCCTGTGTCTGGTACACCCTCAGGGCATGCCTGCTAAATACAGTGCTTGCTTAATAGCAGTAGTTTCTGGTATGGAAGAGAAAGTTTAACTGGGAAATTCCTTCATACTTAACACTACAATAGTTATTAGACTTATGTACAGCTTTTAAAGAAAAGCTTGTCTACTATATTTATAATGCAAACGCCATGGATTTAAAAACAGCAAATATTTGCCACTTGCCATAACAAAAAACATCCACTGAGAAGTTCTGTGATTTCTCTCTTATTTTACATTAATCAGAATCAGTATTACTCAAGTTCAGCTGAAAAGCTTATCAGTGGGATCTTGATGAATTTTAGATACACTTAGTGAGCCACGTGCCAGCCAAACTGATTAGTGCACATTGAAACTGTTCTGAAGTCAACTATTTGGTTAGTACTGACAGTGCTAAGGCCCCTGTAATTCAAGCCTCTCCTGCCTCAGTTTCTCCTACGGCATCCTACCACTCATGTGGGTTTCCATTCTCACATCCTCACTCATACAGATTTCCAAATCATCCACTCGTATATTTTGTCACTTGCAATATTTTTCCTCATCTGTCACAAGGAAATGACCATTTCCTTTCACTAGGCTGATATCAGGCAGCTTGTTTTAGCTAAGGAATTCACCTGTGATTTTCAACTGGTATTATCTGATGTTAAAAAAACCTGTGAGTTTTCAGGCAATAAAGACCTGCCAGAGCTGAGTGGCAATCTGGGATGTTGCCATTCCAAGGGTCAGACTGCAACACAGAATTACTTACCTGTGTAAGAGAGCACAAGAACAAACTCAACTCTGAGAATTAAGAATCCCACTCGGAGACAAGCGTTACAATACTGGTCTGCAGCCCTGCTGCGCTGTTGTGGTTAAACAGGCCACCAAATCTCTCTGCAATTGTTCTCTTTAATTTCTCCCTTCCCCCAAGCAGATGCAGTGCATGACTCCTCTGAGGTAGTGGATGAAGTACTGGCGCAGCCATCATCATTCAGCACAGTCAAGGGAGAACAAGAGCCCAGTGTCAGAGCACTTGCCAACCTGTTGTGGGCGAAGTCACAAGACGAGCTCGCTATTGAATTCCAGCAGAATCAGAAGAAAGATGCCCAAGGGATCCTGAAGCTACAGCTGGACAGTGACCAAAGGCCAATTCTGCTGATGGGAAGTCTCGGCTGCACACGGAGCCCTCAAAAGCAGGTCAGAATTTGAAAACCAGAATTTTCATTCATGCCCCTCACACACGCACTCCCCAAACTCGCCTGCTTTCACTAACTTACTCTCAGCTTATAAGGAATAAAATCTATTTTCTCCACCGACAGTCCCCAGGAGTTACTGTAAGCTCACAATGCCACCTACTGACAATTAGAAACAGCAGCCGAGCTCTTCTGTCAATCCAGAGCAACTCAGGTTTTCCATTAAGTAATTTCCTCTTCATTTCTTTGTATTTATCAACTGTCCTGATGGCTGAACGCAAGTCTTCTAAATATTTGCTTCTAGTTAGTATCTTTTCACCAGCTTTTGTCTTCCAAGGGTTACTCTTTCCGATTCTGAAATAGGGTGAAATTTCTTTCAAATTTTCTAAACTCTTTCAACTCTGACTCATTTGACCAAGAGCAGCTAATCCCTCCCAATTATTAGAATGGCAGAGATTATTTAAGCCTTCTCCTGTCCCAGGTAAGCACAGAAGGTCTCTTCACAAAGTCATGTGTAACCCATCTGGACAGTGTAAACAAGCTTAAAATTCAGAAACTTTAATGACAGTTTTCAAACCCTTAATGACCAATCCCCAAGTCAGTTGGTTTAAATTCAAGAAATACAAACACCTCTGCAAGAGGCAGCACTGTAGTCAAAGCAGGCTCTGGGCCAGGGGGAAGGAATTGGAACCAAGACTGTGGCAATCCTTCCACCTTTTTGCAGTGCTATTCCTACCCTCCATCTGCTTTGTCTATTGACAATGCACCAAAACAGTTTTCTATGTGTGAAAAGCGTTTGTAAGAATTAGGCCAAGGAAACTATAACCCATTATGGGATCCTCACGCATTAGCGAGATATAAATAACAGTAGAGTAGGATTCGTTTAGGAAGCTGATTCAGTGAGTTTTGCTGGACGGAGATCAGTCATTCTGTATTTCTTTATTCTGAGTAGGTCACAGGAGAGAAGTGTCCGTATTTGCATACAGCTGCAAGAATCAGACTGGAACAGAGTACTGTGGCAAGAAGAGTCACGACACACACTAAGGAACTATGTTGCCTGAGCCCCACTGGAACCTGCAGAATCAATTCCTTATATACCTACAAAGAAAAGTAAATGGATTACACGTATTTAACAAGCTATTTCTTTTTGACTGCAACTTGGAGGATTAGTAACCAGACCACTATTTAACTAGCCCTTTGCTAAGGCTTCTTCTGGGATTCGAAATCAAAACCGAGATGGGATGTAACCTTTCAATTTACACCAAACGGAGCTCTTGCAGTACAAAGCTCAATAAATTTATCTGCTACCATTTTAAATGGTAGCCATTTATATCCTCTGTATCTCTGTTCTTACAATAAGCTTGCCATTGAGGATATGTACATAATACAGCACGGAAGAGAGAAGCTCTCGGAACTAGCATGTCACAGACCACTGAGAAGCCAGTTTTCTCCAAGGCGAACAACTATTTGGTTTCTCTGTAATGCAGGAAGCTCCAAAACAGTTTTGGACAAGAACTGCAGATATCCCAGACATCTGCAGGTATCTTAAATACAGGAAGGCATGTGTGTTACAAAACCAAAAGATTTGTTAGGAGACAAAGTAGTCTTATTGCTGAATCTCTATGCTACTGCAACCCTTTTGAGTATCACAGACAGTTGTTGACCACATTAAAGATCCAGTTTTCCTTGGTTTTGAACATGGAATAAAGAAACTTCATCTTTTCCTAGATACTTAGCCAATCAGATAACAAACAAACAGAAGTGGCCTTTTTTTAAGATGTTATTCCTTCAATCTTTGGGGTTTTACCCCTCCTTTAGTTAGATCATAAAGTAGTTTTCCACTTTACTACTCTGAAGCACCCACGTTGTAAAGACCTTTCTTAATTTGACCAGTGCCAATTATATCCTAGAACTCCAAGTAAATTATTAAGGAAAAAAAAAGGTGAGGACAGCAGCCCCATAAAGGACTAGAAGAGCACGGAGTGACTACAAGCATGTCAGAAGGGTAGGATGACACCCATTAAAAGCTGGTCAGAAAGGAAGAAGGGAGCCTCCCTAAAGAGGAATCACACAACTAGTCTTTTACAGATTAGTTCCTGTGCTATGGAAGTTGCTAATCACAGAAAAAAAGGCAGCAATTGTTAAAAGAGAACCAAGAATTCCCACCAGAAATAAGAACTCACAGGTTTGTACGTTACGCTGTACCACTGACAGGGACTGACGTTTTTGCCTGAACAGGGAGCTTCCACTTCAGCAGGCTTCCAACACTCTGCTGACAGGCGATCTAAGGAAGACGTTAATGTGTCAGCAAGATCCAGACGGGATGAAGCAATATGGCCTGCAAGACTTTTCCAAATGAGGTCTCTTTCCTCCACAACAGCTTGACAGATTCTGCTCCCTGAAAGCCAATAGGTGAAACAGCACCGACAGAAATGTGCCAGCTAGCCTGCACAGTCAAAGTGGTGCTGGGCAGTCCTTTTCGTGAACTTTGCAACTCTTCCTTTCCTGATACAGTAGATACCCAAGAAAGAATCTCACCTGTGTGGAATCTTGGCCCTTCTGTCCTTAACAGGGCAAAGAATTCATCATTGGCCTGTAGACCCCTCGACTTCAGCCATACAGTTACAATTTCTCTTCCCCCAAAACAAAGTCATTCTTCCATTTCTCCTTGTTGGCCTCCTGTTGGCACATGCAAGAACTCCCCTCCAATATTTCTTATTAATATTAAATATGTTTTCCTGCTCATTAGTAATGTGGCAGAAAAATGGGAAGAGTTCACACCCCTTTTTCAATTGACCAGACAGCCTTCCCTGCCCCTAAGTTTATCCCAGAAAATCACTGCTCAAATAATGCACAAGTGAAGATAAAGGAGCTGAGAATCATTGGCACATTTGACTTGGCAGCTAGCAAGAATGATTTTGTGAAAGGAAATACAATTTGTAGCAAAAATGTAGGATTTCATTGTTCATGTAATTTGAAATATTCATTGTCAGTGGATATCAGGTTCTTGTTTCACAGGAGTCTGATACTCCAACCATTCTAACCTTCAGGCACAGAGTTTTCTACATTCCTCCCTTATATATAGGGAATGCAGGAAGAAAGTGTTAGAAACCACCAGAATACTTTGATTACTCTAAATACCTGATAGTGAATATTAAATACGCCATACATGGCTTCAGCTGCCAAGAGAAACACTGTGAAGACGCGGTCTGAGCAGCTGACCTTTAACAAACCAGGGCCTGCAGGGACTGTGACAAACAGACCAACTGCCAACACTTTCAGTACAAGGGTACAACGGCAGCAGCACAACCCCAAGAAGTCTGTTGACAATTAGTCTGCCTTGGTCAGGCAGCAGCAGCATTCAAAGAGGAATACAATGTGGTCTTTATCAGGGCCACTATCTTCCCCTTGTGTTCACATGACTACTGAGAGCTCCATCTCCAGAAGACAAATACAGAACCAGATTCCAAGCTCCGGATTGCCCACGGTTATTCCTCTCCCCCCAAAAGAACACGTAATGAGAATCTCACTGTGACAGCAGCAGACCAGTACTTCTGGGCTCTTCAGAACAACCAAAGCTTCCTCACTCTCTTCTGCCGGCCGGTGGTACCGCCCATGCACAGGCAAGGCAGCTCTAAAACAGCGAGAGCACCGAGGGTCAGGTTCCATGTACAAGAGAACAAGAAGATCTGTGGCTAAGTACTCAGGAGCCTCCACATCGATGACATCAGGAATTAACACCACCTGCAAGTGGAGAAAGATACAGATGTGGTTGTGATCAGAATTGATACAAGGGAGGGATGCAGGAAAAAAAAAATGTATGAACATTTTGTGCATGATTCTGGGATTTAAGAGGCCACTGTGCTGCGGTAACCTACTGCAGCATCAGAAGGGAAAACTATTTTCCTCATCCTATTGTCTAACACTGGGTCCAATTTCGTTATCAGGAAGATCAAGTTGGAAATTCTGTCCTTAAGCTGTTCCAAAATAACTTTTCAAGTCCCTCTCCAATGAGTGATTCTTACGTATGAAAAGTTTACAGTGCAACCATGCCTATAGCCAAACCTAAGACACGTTACCTTAATGATGCGTACAAGCAAGGCCATACCAGCCCTCGCAAGCATCCTAACAGCAGAAGCTGCCCAGAGTCTTTGTATCTGTATGTTTTAACTGAACTAAGTGCCTAAGGAGATTACCTTAAAGCTACAGCCTTAGCACATTTCTCCACCCAAAATGCGAAGCGAACACTGGAAAGCAACACAGAAAGCTGTGATGAATACGAAGCTGTGAAGCTACTCAGTCTGAATGCGCAGCACACTACTTAGAGCCCACCACCACCTCTTTTGTGGGGGTTAACCTTCTGTCTTTTCAACCTGAATAGCTTGTACCATAGTTGCTCATCTGGGGCTGAGCAGTGGCTCCCCAGTACGCACGCCTATGTGTAGAAATATCAGCAGCACACGACACAAAACGCCCTGCACCGGGCGATGCTGATCAAGCTGAGAGATACAATGAGATGTCACAAAGATGATACCATGCAGCATCTCCTTCCGGGAAAAGGAATTAATCACCTTGGTTCAACGAGCCAGATAATGACCAGAGATTACAACTTCCTGAGCATACTCATCCTTATCTGAGTAACTGCCAGATGTCTTAGCTTTGGGGTTGTTACCTTTGTTAAATTGTGCTGCTGCAGCGATGCCAGCTCGTAGGGATCCACGTAGATTCCTGGTGGAAGACGAGTTCTAGCTGCCACTGCACATCCTCCTGCATCCTCCCCCACTACACCAAGTTCTACCTTCACCAGCAGGTCCCTTCAAACAAGCAACAGAAGCAAAACGTTTATACCTGCACTTCAAAAGATGGCACAACCCCTTCCCCCCCTCCCCCACCCTGAGAGACATACACATAAATGCGCAGAGATTAGACGCAGCTCTCACATGCCATGTGCGACAAATTCAGAAAACAGTTCCCTGTCGAGCCATGCTGTCCTTCTCTGGTTAGGATGATGTACTTCACCCTAACTCCACATCCATGACCAAAATGAAGTTTCACTTCTTTGTTAACTTCTCAGAACTACCAACGGCCTCCACACAGATCTTAGAAAGGGGCCTCCTGTTCCTCCTCCACTATAGCCTGTAATTGTTAATTAGTTGATCATGCTAATACATTCCTAGTGCCCAGCCATGCCTATGGATCACAGCTCAGTGAGCTGATACAACTGTGCACGAATTAGAAGACAAGCTTCCTCACACGCAAAATTAACCGGCACATTATTTTGATGCAGCGCCAGGGTGACAACTTACCTGTGAAACCCCTCTTTCAGAAGCTCCTGCGTGACAGTGGCATCCTGACAAGCAGCCTGCACGTCTAAGATAACACAGAACAAATGAGTAACGGTGTTTACAGAATAGTACGCATAATTATCACATGGGCAGACAACCTTAACAAGTGGTCGTATCATCTACGAACACATCATCTGCAAAACCTCTCACAGCAAAAGGGAAACAGTATTTCAATTTAGTACAACCAACAGCCGTTTTGTCAGTAGAACACCAAGCTTCAGCTACCATGAAGGCTGAAATATATCTTTTTTTTCCAGCAGAGCAACTTTCAAAAGTGTCCTTTAGTTTTTACTGAGGAGTCTGTAATAATCCCCACTTTTTCCAACTGTAACCCCATTCCAGGTGCAACTCCTTATCTCCTACTTCTGTACCAATCCCTCTAAGATCCAGAGATCAACAAACTTTGTGTTGCAGCCATTTTTTTCTCTACATTTCCACAGGATTTCACTTTCAGATCTGAAACTCCAGTCATGTTATGTACAACATCAGTATCTGCTTGAGCAGAGACCTAAAGCAAGGCAATGTTGGCTTAATATGAAATTTTGCAGAAGGTCTTGCAGCTGTTTTTCAGTTACCTAATCTGGAAAATTTCTTGCTTCTGTATTAATTTCAATAATAGAAGAGACTATTTCAGTTGGAAGGGACCTACAATGATAATCTAGTCCAACTGCCTGTCCACTTCAGGGCTGACCAAAAGTTAAAACGTGTTATCAAGGGCATTGTCCAAATGTCTCTTAAACACTGACAGGCTTGGGGCACCGACCGTCTCTCTACGAAGCCTGTTCCAGGGTTTGACCACCCTCTCGGTGAAGAAATGCTTCCCCATATCCAGTATGAACCTCCCCTGGCACAGCTTTGAACCATTCCTAGGTGTCCTGTCCCTGGATCCCAGGGAGAAGAGATCAGCACCTCCCCCTCCACGTCCCCTCCTCAGGAAGCTGCGATCGACAGCAAAGGAGGTTTCCTGGGGCCCCGACCGAGCCGTGCTTCCCAAATCCAGAACCCAGCCCTACAAACAAGTAGGCGCACACAGCTCCGCACACGTGTAAATAAGTATTTCCGAGACGAAAGCCCGAATGACCTGGCCCGAACCGTTTGATGTCAGTACAACGGGATCCCAGGTGCTCACGCCGGGATTAAGCGGCCGCGACGGGCACGGCTGGGCGCAGCACAGCCAGCTGCGGAGGCCCAGACTGCGCGGAGCCATTTGCTCCACACCGATGTTTACTGACACACAGCCCGTCCGGCTTTAACCGCCCGGCACCGCCTGAAAACCTCGGCTC